ACATTTATATATTTTCAAGTTACTTACTACTACTCAGTTTACTTCTTATTCTCATTCTGAATCCACAATTGTGTTTTCTATTACAAATAACAATGACACTTCTCCCATGTTTTGCTCTCTACATACATTGTTGTTTATTGCCGCAAATGGACATCTTAACCTTGCCTTTATTGCGATATTGCTCATTATATTTTCAGCCCATTAGTTTTTGGTTGCTATGAGACCAACCTGGGATCATTACGGAGCGGTCATAAAATCTGACATTTGTTAATAATCCTTGAGGCCACGCTACGTAAAGCTGTAACAGTTTGTATACTTTGTTTGACATAAGCTTCCTTGTGTAAACATACCTGCCACACCTAATTGACTGATTCAATTAGATGGATTATTCTCTGGTTATGGCTGTAATGATAGAATTCCCTCTGCTCATTAAAACCTGCTCTCTGTTCTGACAGTGAATGGCAATCTGTATTCAAGTGAAAGAAGACATTTTTTGTAGTTATACATGTCAAAAGTTATTATATTGATTTAAATTTAATAAGTTGCATTAAAGGGCCCGTGTTACGCTATTTTTTGATTTATAATATTATAATGTTTCTTCACCACAAACATAACTAGAGTTGCGTTTTCTTTCATTCACGCATGTTTAAGACACAAATCCTACATATTTAGGATGAGGTCTTCTCTCAAACAGACCTTGTGATATCATGTGGTAATACAGGAAGTGCTCCACTTTAAACTCCATCACATTTGGAATTGCTAGTATCTAATGAACTAAACATTAATGGTAGCTGTTACTTGAAAACTACATACCAGAGGTGGGGACATGCAAGTCATGACTTGGACTCAAGTCAGACTTGAGTCATTATTTTTAGGACTTGAGCCTTGACTTGATAAAATAGACTTGGGACTCGACTTAAACTTGAAGGTCAATGGGACTTGACTTGGACTTGAGCCCTGTGACTTAAGAAGACTTGAGAAGCACTTTTAAATTTGAATTCTTTCTATTCTGACTGTAATGATTCACACTCAGATCTTGTCAAGACATTTAAAAAGGAAAAATTTACATTTCTACAACTCTTATATGCTCATATATACATATACTATGACTTTATGAGTACAATTTATTTTAAAGTCATATAGATAGCAAAAATCTAAGCTATATTTGGTACTTTGGTTTAAAGACTTGAAATGACTTGAAGCTTAAAGCAGACGACTTGGACATGTATCATTGACTCAAGACTTGACTTGGACTTGCTTGTATTTTGGATTTGACTTGGACTTGAGGTGAAAGACTTGAGATTTACTTGAGACTTGCAAAACAACGACTTGGTCCCACCTTTGCTACACACAAGGTCAATGACATCACAAGGTGGAGTAGAGCATTCTGAGCTTTGGAGATGTAGACAGACTAATAATGCAGGATTACTCAAACATGTGTCAATGAAACCAAACGCCACTATAGGTATGTTTTTGAGGAGGAAACAACATTAGAACATACCTTAAAGTCACAGAGTCCATTTCAAGTAATATGGGACGTTTAAAGGATTGTTTCAGAACTCGCTTAAACGCACGCAGAGAGCCCAAGGTGAGAAAGATTACTTATTTTGACATATTTTTCCCTCATGGTCTGAAGTACAGGCATCAATCCAGGCTCCAGGCAGCTTATACTGTCGTTGTATGGTTATGGTGTGTGTGAATGAGCGATTGGCAGTGATCAGAGAGGCCATTGGCACCACATATTGGCAACAGTCAGTTAGGGCCAGACAGTTGCTTACTACCACTCAGGAGGGAATGAATTATGAAAGGTAAATTCACCATATGAATCCAATGCAATATAAGACTTCTTAAAAAAATATATGGGAAGAAAATAAATACATAGAAACAATACATAGATGTTGTGATAGTCAAAGGTGTTTGTCCACTGATGCGAAGTTTGGCAGTTTGAATCTCCCTCTTAACATAAACATCACTGGTAAAGTGGTCAAATCCACTGACCCACAGGTTGTCATTGTGTCCTTGTGCAAGACACTTAACCCCCCAGCCCCATAGTCCCTGCATACACCGGTGTATGAATATGTGTGTGAATGGGTGAGTGGTTCCTTGATGTAAAGTGCTTTGAGCTCCTTAAACGTGGAGAAGCGGTATATAAAAATGTGACCATTTACTATATGTAACTTTTCTTGTTATGGGGCCTCCACTTGCTTGTTTCCATGACAATGACGGGATGTTATGTCTGGAATGTTCCACAGTACAAAATTAAACATGTCTATCTTGCCATTTATTCAATAACACGTTTTTATTGCTCAAAAGTACCTCGAAAAATATGTATTCTCTTACTGTGAGAAGGGTGCCACTCAACAGATCTGACCTGTAACTTGGCATTGTGTGGGCGGCAGTAGCAGTAGGAAAAGCGCTATAGAAAAATGTGACCATTTACCATTACCATTGTGGCTTTACTTACGATACACTACCACTCAAATGTTTGGACACACCTTCTTTGTCAATGTATTTTTATTTCACCAACTTTCTACATTTTAGATACACACAGAAGACATCAAATATATCATGCAAAATATATGGAATTATGTAGGAATGAAAAAATCCAAATCTTTAAAATAGGGACCCCTTGCTTTGTTGACAGCGCTGCAAAGCCTTGGTCTTCTCTCAGTGACCTTCTTGATAAATTCACATTAAATAGTTTTCATTTCACAGCTGTGCCTGCCTGTCAGGGTCAAGAAATGCCAAAATTGCAAAGCAGTGCTCAAAGCAAAAGGTAGCTATAAGTTTTAAAGTCCAGGAAAAGCAATAACATCTCTATGGTGGAAGACTGTTCCCTAGAAACGTTATACAATACAAAAGAGTCAGAATGCACCTCTCTTTAACGCATATACTTCTAATGTTCTACCCATTTGCACAACTTAGACCAGGTCGAGATTCAAACTTCTGAGCTGTCCATCCCCCAACATCACCCATCTTGTATCTCGTAAAAGCTATTATATCTTTATTCAAAAATATTTCAAGAGCAGCCTCGTCTAATCTGCGAGGGGCTTGGCAGACCACATTCTATTTAAAACCACCATCACCTCTGTCAGAAAAGCAATTACTGGAGAGAGTTTCATTTTAATTTAGATTACATTACAGTGACATGCAAAAGGGGCCTGCTGCCGGGCTGGAACCAACACAAGTCCTTCTGCTTTATCTGTTTTCCCCAGCTACACGACTTACGGTAGAGGGAGGGGCGTGTGGCTAAATACGTGAAGGTATACGGCATGCATGTAAAGGGAGAATTGTGTGCGCTGAATTGAAAAGTACTAAAAAAATAGGAGTACAATTACCGCGAGGCCCAGAGCATGGATCAATACGAGCCCTTGACATAAAGCAGCTGCATGGTGTGTAGTTTTTCAAAGTGTTATTTTCATGTCTTTAATGGGCTGCTCTCTGTCTTTGTTATGTGCACGCTGCATTTAAAGACACAGCTAATGGAGAGGTAGAAAGCACAGAAGCAGAAAGTACTTACAGATGCTTGGATTGAAGTATTGAGTGTGTACTTTTGAGTGTACTTTTACTTGTTTTGGAGGAATCCTTTGCTCTTCGTTGCAATTTGAATTAGCAAAGCCTGTGAACAATTAGCAGTTCATATTACAGTCTTCACTTTAATATTAATACTCTCATTTTTATTTTGACTAGTGACACTTTTACTTTGAATAGTCACTTTGGGAAATTGATGCTTTGCACCTGATGTCATCAGCGCTCCCTGGGGGTGTGGTGCTAACCGCAGGCTCTGCTCTGTCTGAGGCTTTGTTAGACTTTGATCTGAACTGATTTAGCTGGAACTACAACAAAAGAGATGATTTGTGCTTTTAAACAAGTCTCTTACACAAAACACTGCAGTCACAAGTCAATGCCAACAAATCCATTTTGTGTTTTTTATTGAGTTTTCAGACAACCTTAAAACTTTTGGACTGTGTTTGCTAATGTGTGCATCGCGTTTCCATGGTAACTCCTGGCCATTCCACCATTGCAATTTAGTTTAAAAGTCATATAAATTGTAAAAATCTAAGCTATATTTGGTGCTTTGGTTTAAAAACTTGAAATGACTTGAAGCTCAAAGCAGACGACTTAGACTTGACTTGGACTTGCCTGCACTTCACTTTGGACTTGACTCTGACTTGAGGTCAAAGACTTGAGACTTACTTGAGACTTGCCAAACAACGTCTTGGTCCCACCTCTGCATGTAGAACACTCCCACCATGATGTCAGTGCAGAGTATCAGTTGGATTTCCTATGCTTTATCTCTAATGTCGGTGTATTTGTTGGACACCCGCTTGTTTCAGTGGAGTTGTATTTGCTTTGCCAGGAATGGTTTTGTGTGAAATACTGTAATAATAATACTATTACTGCGGTTGGGGTTGCATTTCCACAGATCTGACCTGTAAACCTTCTTGTGTCCATGGAGAAAGTTCTGTTTAATGCCAAACACTGAAGCATAGCAGGCAAAGCAATAACATCTCCATGGAGACAAACAGGTGGGGGACAATCCACCGCCAAAAAGTTACATAATTACCCTTTAAAAAGAAATATATAAAGCAGAATATAAAGTTTTACTGTTTATAATTATACTGTTAACATATTTGTTTATGCCAGAAGAGTAGTAGCAGTACTAACCATGGGTCTCACCCTGAACAACTTAAAACAGCAATTACATATGCATTACACACTGTATTCTTCAACCTTTTCCACAATACTATTCCTCTTATTATTTTTATTCTGTGTCTGCTTTAAAAAGCCTTACCAGGTTTAGAATAGGCCATAACACAAGGAAATTGCTCAAAACCTCCCATAAAATGCTGAGTGACTCACCAGCTGGTCAGGTCAAGTAGACATCATTGTAACTTTGTATATGTCTCCTTGAGGTTCACCATTTTCTAACTACTTTGTCTTCTCTTTTTCTCCTTTTTTTCCTCTTACCAATGCTGCCTGGGACTCACTGGAAACAGCGGACGAACTTGGCATAGAGTTCATGGGTAAGTTCTCTTGACTGGAGGTGTCTTTAATAGCAAAGTATAACATAGATAGGGAATATACAAATGGACATGCTAGAACAACAAGAGTGCACGGGCTCACCTTGGAAAATGAATGTGAGCCAGTCGCCATGGAAACACTGTGGTTGGTGAATTAGGTGTATTCTGTCTGCATGAAGAATGAAGAACAGAGGGAGGGTGGGCAATGGAGACAGATAGGAGGTCTGGAGTTTAATAGGTAGCGCAGTGTAGATAGATAAATCAGCTTTTATTTTGAAAGGTGCATTTAGCAGTGTAGCTATGTCTGAAATATAAGAGCAAAAACATTCTAAAGAGCTGAATCTGATGTACTATAAATAACATTGTTAAAAAAAAAAAAAAAGTGCTGTTATATTTCATTAAAGGTCTTGTAAACTTTAAGACATGTTAAAATATTGTTATCCCATCAAAAACATACCTGGACTTTGGTTTTGTTTCATTCACATGTGTTTGAGTAATCCTTTACTTTTTAGTGGTACTGGTAGTGGTAGATTTCAAGTTAACAGCATCCTTTTAGAGTTTGTTCAGTAAAGATTGGCAATTCCATGGCTGAAATTATCGAAATGATTCTAATGAAAGTGTAGGGAGTTTAAAAAACACAGTGAAGCACTTCTTGTATTACCACATATCAAGGTGGTGTTTTCTGTTTGAGAGAAGAACTCAGCCTAAATATGCAGGGTTTGTGTGTGTTTCTGTGACTGAAACACTCCAGGTATGTTGTGATGAGGAAACATTATGACATAGCTCATAAAACAGTGACCGACCCTTTAATACACTGTTTCCCAAAGACTGGGCAGCGACCCTTAGGTGGCTTGTAAGAGATTTTTTTTGGTTGCCTTGTCACAATCAGCATGTAGGTCTGCAATATAGAGATCAGACACATGAGATTTCCTGTGCTCACAAAAATCAAGACAAAATGTGCATGTTGCGCTCTCCTCCTGCACTCCGGACTAGAATGTGATACTAAAACACAGGCAGGTCCACCTATCTCATTAAAAATGTTGAAATGTTAAGACATGTTTTTTATAGTTTCTAATCTTTTTGTAATTATTTTATTGAATATTTTGTTCCTATATTGCTGTTCAATTGAATGTTGAAAACAAAAAGAAATGGGACACTTTTAATATCCAAATAGGTGACTTATGGATACCTTTTATTGCTGTTTTCATTGTTTAAAACTGGAGTAATACTAATTGTTCAGAGAGACACGATCACTCAGTCAACAATAAAATATCCTCATTAATGTTCAATAATGGTCAAATTTACTAATACTGTCTGTTGACTTGTGTTGCAAAGGTTTGGGACTTTTAAAATATGGGTTCCCCAGAAAAAAAGTTTGGGCAACACTGCTTTAATATATATACCAAAAATGGCTCATTTTGAGTTTTCTAGAAATACAGTATGTTTGGTATAAACCAGGGGTGTCCAAACTTTTTTCATCAAGGGCCGCATATCTAAACACAGACGAAGTAGAGGACCGATCGAGGGCCATACACTGGTGCTCAGTACTGTGAATAATTGAAATATGTGCATGTTTAACACGTTAGAATGAGTCATAAGTCTTTACTCATGCTAAGATCCTCCAAACCAAACACTAAATATTAAATAATAAATTCACTTTATCAAGGTAGATTTTCCAAAAAACTTGCACTAAAAAGGCCATTATTAATTGATGCAAGGAAATTTCGGTTAATTCACTTGGAAGCCTGAGGGCCAAGAAAAATTGGTCTGAGGGCCGCATTTGGCCCACGGGCCATAGTTTGGACATGCCTGGTATAAACCTTATAGATCTCCCCAGGAATCCGATTTTTCAAACTCATCAGTGGTTTTAGTGGTAGCAGTGTCCATGCATTTCAGAATGATGAAACATTTGGACTGTTGCCATAGTAATTAGCAATTCAAAACAATATCTTGGTATGGAATGGTAAAACGATCTCGAAATGGTGCCCATAACAGAAAGCCAAAATGCAGTAATAAGCATTGATTGAACAGGTTTGTGAAGTGTACACAACAAAATACAATAAGATTTCTCACCAATATAAACCATTAGTAGAACATTTTCCCAAGGTTGTATCACTGAATTACTTTTAGACAGCTGTAGACATTGAAACTGAACACATATCATTATGCTTGAGTCATTTCCACACACCATAAAAACACAATTGTTTTCAAGATAATAAAAAACTGTGGATAATGCCAATATCCGACTGCATAAAAAGTCATAAAAGCTAATGTAGTTCTTCTAAACTCATTTTGTATTGATTTTGTCTGCTATCGATTCCCTCTTTTGAATAAGATAGCCACATTAAAACATCCCTCACTCCAAAGGGTTAATCTCGTATGGCGTAATCATAACCCCGGATTATAATTTCTGGTGTTTTTAGCCTGCTGTGTTGTAAATATGTCTCTGTTTCCTTATTAAGTGCATACAGTTGTTTGGCCTGTGGGATATTCACACTGTTTTCCCATTATCTGTGCTCTGTGTAAGCAAGTCAGCCTCCTTTTGTGCATGCATAAAACCTATACCACACGCTGTGAAGTTTTCTATTAGGGCTGTGTCAAACACACACACATACTTACTGGATTTCCCTGTGTCTAGGGGACATTACATTGACTTGTATTGATTTCCTGATAGATTGATTCTAGCTTGAAAGGTCCAATATTACACAAAATTGACTCCTGTGAGCTTCAAGCCATGTTCTAATACTGTTATCTCATTAAGAACATAGCTGGAGTTGTGTTTTGTTTCATTCACACGTTTGAGTAATCCATGATTATTGATCTGTCTACATCCCCAAAGCTCAAAATGCTCTGTTTCACCTTGTGATGTCATGAAGCTGTAAACTTTTGTCGATTGGCAGAGATTGGCAATTCCCGGGCTCAAATCATCCAAATTGTTCTAGTGAAGACACATGGAGTTTAAAAACACAGTGGGGCTTCAAGAACTCGTCCTCAATTTGCAGGGTTTGTGTGTTAAATATTTGTGAATGAATAAAAAAACAACAAGGAAAGGAAACAGCATTACAACATGGATCACAGAAAATAGCACAATATGAGTTCTTTAAAATTCATACCTGATTTTTACTGTCTTGAAAACTAGAAAAACAAAACTGTTTATTTATATGCTTTGCAGCACTTCAAAGTTATGCCTTTCTTATCTTATGCATTCCAAGAATGCTAATTATTCACCGCAATGACTTTATAAGTGCATTTCACAACTTTCAGACTTATACTTAGACAAACTTTACTGATCCACAAGGGAAATTATTTGGACACAGTAGCTCACACATCATAATATGAAATAATAACAAAGAGAAAAATATGAATGGTAATAATAAACTCTAAATCTCTCAAATTTTGTCTCTCTTTTTAATTGTATGATGATTATTTATATTTTGATCTGTTTGTATTGTGATTTTAATTTATTTCTCATTCTGAAAAGCACTTTGAATTAGCCAGGCTGGTGCTACCTAGTGCCTGCACTCAATTTCATTTCTCTCTAGCAACCAGGTCAGGAATCAGAATACACTAGACAGTTTGCAAAAACCTCGGAAATGTGAGTTTGGGCATCAGCAAAGAGCCATACATTCTGTGTCGGCAATGATTCCCGAGATCTATTATTTAAAGCTGGAACAAAGAGAATACTTGGTGAAGTTTATCAAGGGGAAAGACGTTATTACCCTTCTTCCTACAGGATTTGGGAAGAGCTTAATATAGCAGTTTGCCCTGTTAGTGACGCATTACATATGCCACGACCAATAAACAGTGATTGGTTAAATTTAAAAAAGTATCTGTGTACCATCAAGTGAACAAATTCTAATGCTGCGAGGTCAGACAGTTTCCACGAAGTGAGACAGGCTGATGAATCAGGCTAACTTTGAATTGCTTTGTGTATGAATTGTGCTATACAAATAAACATGCTTGTCTAAATAAGTAGCGAAAAAGACAATTATGTAAATGTATAATTATGTACAAGTCAAAATAAAACCGAAAGGTAAGTAATAAAATATAAAATCTCAGCTTTGATTAGTTTCAGAGGTGAGTTTTGCTGTCACAATAATGCATGTTAACAGTGCACTTCCTGATTCTTGGGTGATAAAAAGGCTTTGTAATTAGATGCAGACAGTGCACAGATCAGGTACAGCCACAATCTTAACCCAGACTCCAGCCTTAACCTGTTGTAACTCAGCTCTGAGCGTTAAATCGTTTCGCTGATCCAATCCTAAAGCGTTGACGTCATGGGGAGCTGTTTTTTATGCAGGAGGGACCCATGAATTGAGTTTGTGTACAGATCCGAGTCCCCACAGTGTGATAAATACCCGTCCACACACAGGGCTGTTGTCATGTTTCCGCTGCAGCCTTGGGTAATAGAAGGGAGCAGGCGCCGCTAGAGGATGTGACAGTATTCTTCAGATGAGTGCTTTTAATCTGCACACAGCAAATTAGTTCACAAAGGCCGTGCAGGTGGGAGGGTGCTGCTAAAGGGGAGTTCATCGATTCATATGTGCATGGGTGACGCATGGATCAGTTTTATGACTGAGTTTTAATGCAATGTGTTATTTTGTTATCTTATTGGATAGGCTTGAAGTACACTTAGAATAACGTGAACTGAGACAATGTAGTGTTTGCCCTCCACCCCGTCAGGCTAAATATGGGTTTAAGCTCCCTGATATAGTTGACATTTTTGGGACTTGCACCATTCAAAATATATGCTCTTTTGTTTTCAATTTGCAATATGGCAACTGTGATAATTTGTCATCATTTTGAAACCCAAAGGTAGTAGGAATCAAGACTTCAAAATAGCTTGGAACGCACTTTAGAAAATGGGGGCAGGTGGGGGCTGTTTTTAAAGACTGTATTTTTTAAAACTATTTATTCCTATTTTTATTTATGCTGCTGTTGACCTGGACCTGAGTGCAAGTGTTTGTTTCTTTGTATTTTTATACTGAAATGACAAATAAATT